GTCTGACAATTAAAATCTCACACCAAAAAAAAGGAAATTATACAAAATCTTCCGGTGAAATTCGGGAAGTCGCTGGTTTTTGGTTAAATAGAAACATGGAAAATACTTTTCTTTGATAAGCTCCCGCAACTTAAAACCCAACCTGTCAGGGCCCATACCTCCCGTCAGGGCCCATACCTCCCGCCAGGGCCCATACCTCCTTCCAGGGCCCATACCTCCTTCCAGGGTCCATACCTCCCGCCAGGGCCCATACCTCCCGCCAGGGCCCATACCTCCTTCCAGGGTCCATACCTCCCGTCAGGGCCCATACCTCCCGTCAGGGCCCATACCTCCCGCCAGGGTCCATACCTCCCGCCAGGGTCCATACCTCCTTCCAGGGTCCATACCTCCCGCCAGGGCCCATACCTCCCGCCAGGGCCCATACCTCCCGCCAGGGCCCATACCTCCTTCCAGGGTCCATACCTCCCGTCAGGGCCCATACCTCCCGTCAGGGCCCATACCTCCCGCCAGGGCCCATACCTCCCGCCAGGGTCCATACCTCCCGCCAGGGTCCATACCTCCCGCCATGGTCCATACCTCCCGCCATGGTCCATACCTCAAGATGTAGACAACTGGCTGTGGGGTGAAAGACTGGGTGCTGCTTGAGACCCCAACCAGGGAAACGTAGGTTCCGAAGATCTTCTAGTGCAGTGGTTCTGAACCTGTGGGTCGCGACCCAAAAGTGGGGTCCCAACCCACTGTTGAGGGGGGGTCACCACGTGCTTTGTGCTGCGCTAGGCGAGAGGATCCTCAGCCACCTCCTAGGAGCAGCAGTGTCAGTTCTCCGGCCACGCCGCAGGATGGCGCTGCAGCACCGGCAGCCGAGGAGGATTAAAGAGAGGGGAGCGGGTGGGAGTTGAATGCTGGCTTGACCACCAGAGAGCCCCATTGGCCGTGAGAGAGCCCCATTGGCCGCCAGAGAGCCCCATTGGCCGCCAGAGAGCCCCATTGGCCGCCAGAGAGCCCCATTGGCCGCCAGAGAGCCCCATTGGCCGCCAGAGAGCCCTATTGACCGCCAGAGAGCCCTATTGACCGCCAGAGAGCCCACACAGATACTAGTATTGGTGCATTCCTAAATTTTACCATTGGGGGGGGTCACCACAACCTGGCAAAAGTTACCAAGGGGTCCCGGCCCTAGAAAGGTTGAGAACCACTGCACTAGGGCCAGGCTTGCGGTGATCCATAACTAGGCCTTTCTCAGCCACTCAGGAGGAATGAGTGCAAATGCATATGACAGACTAAAAGTCCATCTTTGCATTAAAGGAGTCTACTAGATCGGCGACAACTAAATCGATTATAATAAGCGGTGGCAACGATTCTCATCATCGGTTAGTTGATTTACGATTAGTTGCCACCGCTCTGCTCTTCCGTTCTCCTCCCAGCTGGTGCCGGCTGCAGCGGTCTGTGTCCCTCTCAATCCCCACTTGTATCGGCAGAGGCAGCGGGGGACGCAGATCACTACAGCAGGCACCAGCAGGGAGGAGAGACCACTGTGACTGCACCCCCCTGCCCTCCGTACCTGCACTGCAGCCCCGTGTCTCCCCTTCCCGGGCCCATTCCGCCTCAGCTACCGCCCCCTGTGCATCCTCTGCATCTACAGGCTGGGAGCCATTTCCAGCCAGCTATTGGATATTACTGTCTGGATCCGCCCAGCTGCGTGATTGACAGCTGGCTCTGCCTATCTAGAGGCAGAGCCAGCTGTACCCGCCCCCTCCCCCGCCTGTTAGCGCTGGAGGATCAGACAGGGGAGGAAATCCATGCGGGGAGCCGTGAGGGACACTCACTCAGGTATAGATCGAGAAGTGAGCGAGCGACGCTGTGCGTTCTCTCACTTCCCGATCTATTGAGCCGACCTGCGACAGTCTCATTTCGCCTTCCACCACACATAAAGAAGCAGCGTGCCGCACCAAGTCCTTCTCACCTATGACAGACATTAATGATGTCGCGCGTCCGCAGGTGCTGCTCCTCCACCTTCCCAGCCAGGTATATGGAGGACATCGCCACCAGGTACGGGTCATACTCCTCCAGCGTGGTCTCCTGGAAGAACTTGTGATAGATGGTACAAGCCGTGGCTATCGGGATGGAATGCAGTCCCAGCTTGACACCTACATGATAGAAGACCACATTATGAAAGCAGAAGAC